TACATCAGCCCTGGGTGACATTGCCCAGACGATTCTTATCCCTAGAAAAAAGGCTGCAGAGATATCATGTGATCAAGGAAGGCTACACAAACTTCATGAAGGAATAGCTTGGAATGAGCTTGGACACATGAAAGAAGTTCCTTTTGTAAATTTACCAAGGGCACACTATTTCATCCCACATCATTGTGTGTTGAAACCAGAGAGTCACACAACAAAATTACGTGTGGTTTTCGACGCATCAGCAGTGACATCCTCTGGAAAGTCATTAAATGATTTGTTGCACAAAGGCCCAACAGTGCAAAATTCATTAATGTCGATATTGTTACGCTTTAGAATACACAAATATGTATTCACTGCCGACATTGAGAAAATGTACAGACAAATTTGGATTAATCCAAAGGATCAACACTATCAAATGATAGTATGAAGAAATAGCCCATCGGAAACGCTAAAATATTACCGTCTGAAAACGGTGACATATGGCACAAAATCAGCACCATACTTAGCAACGAAGTGCTTAGAACATTTGGCAACTAAACAAATGCCGGTTGGATCCGGTTGGATCTCATGCACTTAAAAATGATTTATACGTGGATGATTGCATCACTGAGCAGATACAATGCCCGAAGCCCTGCAGATAAGTACTGAGCTAAACAAAATTTTGCTAAGTTCTGGGTTTAAATTACGGAAATGATGCGCAAACAGTAATCAAATACTACAGGGATTAAACAAAGATGACATAATCCCTGAAGTTCAGTTGGAAGATACTGCGTATGAAGATTGCAGTGTCAAAACTCTTGGAATTATTTGGAATCCCAAGATCGACAAACTTTGCGGCAAAACACAAGTTGCCACAAACTTCAAAATAACGAGACGCGATGTAGTCTCAGAAATATTTAAAATATATGATCCTCTTGGACTATTCTCTCCAGTTGTCATAAAGGCCAAAATATTTATGCAAGGTCTGACCAAAGAGAAATTTGACTATAACGAAGAATTACCGGAACATCTACAGAAGCAATGGATTGCATTCCGAGAAAGCTTACAGGCTTTGAATGAAATAAAAATTTCACGACATGTCTTCGAAGGGAAGACACCAACGACGAAGGAAATACACACATTTGTAGACGCTTCAGAAAATGCATATGCAGAAGCAGTATATCTTCGAGCAGTTCACAAGGATAAGAGGGTAACGGTCCAACTACTATGTGCAAAATCGCATTTGGCACCAATAAACACAATAACCCTTCCTCGATTGGAATTAAAGGCTGCAGTGCTTGGGGCGCAGTTAACGTCCACGGTAAAGGAACAGCTGTCCATGCAAGCAGTTCCTACGTATTTCTGGGCAGATTCCGAAATTGTGCTTTCCTGGATAAATAGCCCGACCACAATAAAGGACAAACTTGTGGCAACAAGAATTACGACGATTCAGGAAGCATCGTTACAAAAGGAATGGAGACATGTCCCATCAGAACAGAACGCCGCGGATGTGGCATCAAGAGGAATATGTGGTTCCAAATTCGCAAATCACAGTCTTTGGTTTTATTGACCACTCTTTCTGTATGGACCTGCGTCAAAATGGCCAGCACCGTTTATTGCATCTAAAATTGAGCGCATGGCCAAAACTGCAAAAACATCTTTAGGAGCAGTTAAAGAAGATAGCAGTCTAATATACAATATTAATCACGGAAATTCATTTTCCAAGCTGCTATGGATAGTACCTTATATTCTGCGGTGGAAAAGAAAACCACTAGTTGCAGGAGAAACAATAAACGTTGAAGAACTTGAACGAGCAGGGAAATTAGTTCTTCGCAGCATCCAGCAGAAGCATTTCATCGCAGAGTTAAAAAGTTTGAAGAAGTCTCGCGATGTCGAAAAGAGCAGCAACATAAGCTCTCTCACACCGTTTATAGACCAGGACAATCTCATCCGAGTTGGCGGAAGGTTGGAAGCAGCTGCATTATCATATGATGCTAAGCACCCAATACTGCTTCCATACAATGGCCCAATTGTCAAGCTTATCTTTGAAAAAGTGCACAAGGATAATATGCACTGTGGAGCTCAAGCACTAGTGGCCACTTCACGACAAAGATATTGGGCTATAAAGGCAAAAACAATTGCCCGAAATGTTGTACTCAGCTGTGTAAAATGTACCAGAGCCAAACCAAAATTGACGGAACAAATCATGGGGCATTTACCACCATTAAAAGTAACGCAAGCAAGGCCGTTCCTTAATGCCGGCGTTGATTATTGTGGACCTTTTAAAATCTACTATAAAATTCGTCGAAAGAAACCACATACAGCATACATTGCTATATTTTGCTGTTTCGCCACTAAAGCAGTCTATCTGGAGCTAGTAAGCGATCTTACAACGGAGGCATTCTTGGGAGCACTGCGTCGATTTATAAGTCGACGTGGAAGATGTCAAACGCTGCACTGCGATAATGCAACCAATTTTGTTGGAGCTAGGAATAAGCTTCAAGAGTTGGAAGATGCCATCTTTTCGGAGAAAGCCAGAAAGGTTATTATTGAGAGTTGCTCTAACAAAGGAGTCAACTTTTAATTTATCCCGTCAAGAGCACCTCATTTTGGAGGATTATGGGAAGCTACTGCAAAATCAGCTAAGCATTTGCTGCTGAAAAATGTCAGCACAGCGAATCTGACATATGAAGAGTTGGAAACAGTCATAGTCGAGATTGAAGCAATCTTAAACTCTCGGCCTCTAGTTCCAATGTCATCGGATCCAAATGACTTGACTGCAATTACTCCCGGTCATTTTCTTATTGGAGAACCACTAACCGCTCAAGCTGACAGCGAGCCTTCTCAGCAACCACAGTCATTGGGACAAAGATGGCAAGCTGTATCCAAACTAAAGCATGCCTTTTGGAGTCAATGGTCAACCGACTATCTTCAACAATTACAACAAAGGCAAAAATGGAGGCGATCATCAACAAATATAAAGGAAGGATCTTTGGTGTTGATCAAAGAAGACAACACACCAGTACTTCAATGGCCAATGGGACGAGTTGTCAAGATATTTCATGGAAAGGACAATTTTGTCAGAATAGTGGAGGTAAAAACCGCAAAAGGATACTTCAAGCGTGATATCCAGCATATAGCACCGATATTTCCGGAAGAAGAACCAGTACACAAACACCCCGTATCCGAAGAATCTGACGACAACAGCGTTGATGAACATGCATCGAAGAGGAAGAAGACATCAACTATGTCTACAGTGGCAATGACATTGATAGTAATGCTTCTAGTGTTACCATTAACTGTGGCACAATCCATTAACGTGACACAGTTTATGTCAAGGCCTGGAATGTTCTTCGAAAAAATTGGAAAGGGCCAACTTGCCACCACGGATTGGTCCATCGTTGTATATTACAATTTGAATCCCTACTGGCATGATATGAACACATTCTCAATGGGAGTTACAAAAGTTGGCCACGTATGTCCACAATTTCCATACAAGGAAGCATGTACTAGTATGTATCATCATTTGAAACATCTGGAGGAGGACCTGCAAGCTGAAAATATGCTACTAGCAAGAACTAGAAAACAAAGAGCCCCACTCGACATCGTAGGAAATATAGCAAGTAGTCTTTTTGGTGTATTGGATTCAACATATGCCAAAGACATGGCTAGCACCATAAATAAGGTTAAACATAATGAGGAACACTTATTAACCTTATTAAAAAATCAAACGTCCTTAATAGATTCAACAATTAATGTCATAAAGAGAGACGAAATTTCGAACTCTAAGCGACTTAAGGTGATTGAGGACTACATTGCTGACACAAGAAATGCCAGTAATCTATTTGATAAATGGTCGTGGTATACTTCACTGTCGACTCAGCTTGCGATAATGGCGTCAAATCTTCAACGTGTACAATCGGAAATAATTAATATATTAACCGATGTTCGCCACAACAAAATCAGCCCAATGTTGATATCACCACGACAGCTTAAGGAACAACTGGAGCAAATACGAAGACACTTAAAGACTGGACAAATTCTTCCAGTGTCTCCAAATAACATCCTCATGGCATACCAGATGATGAAGGGAGAAGGAGCTATTGTAGATGATCACGTCATTATTAAAGTCAAGTTTCCGTTGATTTCGTCACAAGATTTAGACATCTGCAAACTGACTCCCATTCCATTCATATCTCAGGATGGGATCCAGTCAATTGAAACAAGAGCACCGTTTCTGGCCATCAACAGTCATCATGATGAGTGTCGGGAGCAGCCGCAGCAATCAACTTAATATCAATTTAAAATCATTTATTGTTTGCCATTTGGTCAGCATCTCTGACAACAACAATGTAAACAAAAGCTCCCAATTATCTATTTTGCAAAAGATAAGCCGAGATAAGCGACTGCGCTCGCTGCTCTCTCGGACTTACGCGTTCTCATCTTTTACATTCGCCTTTGATCGCTGGTACGGAGCAGCTCGTTCGCTCTTGCTACCATAATAAACGCATTTAAAATCGAACCACATTCTCGGCTTTCCTTTTAACACCGTTCTGACACACGCATAATTCTCTCTCGTTAATTATTCGCAAAAAAAGGTGGCATAAATTAATGCCTCCTCTAAACATTTGGTGACCCCGACGTGATCGTGAACGTGTGTTAAAGTTAAGCAATTATTAAATATCGTTTTAATAATTCTACGCGCCCTTTGCATGTGTCGCTGCAGGGCCATACACACACAAACTCTTTTCGCATCGCTTCGCACGGTATTCGCATATACCGTCATACATACATACATACATTGTACAGTTAGAATCGGCTGCTGTACAGTTTGAATTTTTCTGCATTACGGAAGGTGCTACGCAACTTCGCTCGCCAGGCAGAAGTCGCTGCCCGTTGTTTTCGGCTCCTTCATTACCCTCAAATTCGTTCTTTGGTTTTCGCTGGCCCAAGTGCAGGTGCAGCGGAAATTTCGTGCGGTGACTTTCGTATACCCTACAAGCGGCAAATAAAAATTAAAAATGCCAGCCAAACATACGAAAAAACCTGAGCTCGCGCCTCACGCACCAAACGGCGAGGAGTTTTATCGGGCTAAGGCAGATTCTATGGTACGCCAGCTGGCGGCCCTAAATTCTTTTTTGACAGAGGAGCAGTTGGCCAAGTTCGACGAAAGTGAGTTGCAGGTGCGGTTGGACCTAATCGAGCGCATGTACTCTGACTTCGACAGCTCTCGACTTAACCTCGAACAACTTGTGCTTGAGGAGTTGGAGTCAGATGCGCGCTTAACCTTTACCACGGCATATTGTGAGACGAAAGGTAAAATCTGCCGCCATCTCAACAGCGAGAAGAGAAAGTCGTTGGCAAATTCAACTGAGTTGCATGGCATCCTCGGTGGACACGCAGCCGCCTTCAAGTGCAATTCGCGGCCCACCAGGCTACCGGAATTTCAGCTTCCGCGATTTGGCGGAGCATACATCGATTGGCCGGATTTCTACGCCATGTTCAACACTGTGGTGGGAAAGAACGAAGATCTAACAAAAGTGGAAAAGTTTCAGCATCTTCGTTCATGTTTGGACGGCATGGCACTGGACGCAATTCGCTCGCTGGAGCCCACGGAAGATAATTACGACAGGGCTTTGGAATTGTTAACGTCGAGATTCGATTATAAATTATTGCACTTTCAGGCACATGTTCGGTCTATATTCAAGCTACCAGGAGTGGAGAAGGGCTCCGCAAGTAGTCTGCGGCACTTAAGCGACAAGGCAAATTCTCATTTGCGCGCCCTGGCTACTATGGCCTCTACACAGAAAATATATGACGGCCTCTTAATTCATCTCATCGCTTCAAAACTGGACGTTCAGACCCAGGAGAGGTGGGAAGAAGGATTACCTTCCAAGGAGCTGCCAAGTTGGGATAAATTCTCATCGTTCTTGGACCTTAGATGCCGCATGATGGAAAATTTGGAATACGCTATGGTAAACCAAGCACCTAGCAAGCAGGTTGGAAAAGTAGCTAACAAATTCTGTCGTAGCACCCTCATTGCTTCATCATCAGCTATGCCATCATGTACCTTGTGCGAGTCTAGGGAACATTATTTGACAAAATGCCCACAGTTCTTAGGATTGAACCCCAATCAGCGGTATAGAGAGTCAAAAAGGCTACATCTTTGTCTCAATTGCCTACGAAAGGGACACAGCCTACAGCAATGCAAGTCTGGCAACTGTAGACACTGCCACCAGAGGCATCATAGTCTTCTTCATTTGGAAACAAATCCCGTTCCAACCCTGGCCCAGCCTGTTCCAGAAATACTTCCGCAAGGATCATCTCACGTCTCTGTAGCCTTGTCCAAAACGCCGCCGCTAGCTTCATCGTCAACTAGATCCGAATACGTCTTGCTTGCTACCGCCATAGTCTACGTGAAAAATCGCTCTGGCGTGTTCGTGCCATGCAGAGCCTTGCTCGATTCGGCTTCTCAAATCAATTTCGTCACATCTCGTTTCGCCAATCAGCTTCAGCTCAAAATCCATCGTTCAGTCATCTCCATATCAGGAATCGGTGAATCCTCGCTCGCTTCGGATAAATCGGTTCATATTTTCGCTCAGTCGAGCAACGCAAAGTATAGCACTTCGCTCTCTGCTGCTGTCACCCAATCAATCACCGATTACCACCCGCATTTCGATCTCAACGCGTCTGAATGGAAAATACCGGAAAATCTCGAGCTCGCCGACCCGCTCTTCTACAAAAGTCAACGCATCGACTTGCTTATTGGAGCAAGCATATTCTTCGATTTACTTTGTATTGGACAAATTCGATTAGGCAGCAATTTACCCACTCTGCAGAAAACCAGACTTGGCTGGATCGTCTCAGGGGGTCTATCGGTAGGATCTTCCATTCGCTCATCGTTAGTTTCTTTATCTCAAGAGCCCAGCACTCATTCGGAGTCGGATTCGATTTCTGAGATACTAAAGAGATTTTGGGAAATAGACAACTGCGCAGATTCCACAAAAACCATTGCAAAAGAAGAAGCTCTATGCGAGCAGCTATTTAAGCAGGAATACACTCGGCTTGAATCTGGCCAATATTCGGTACTACTTCCTGCCAAAACTAGTTTCGATGCTCTAGGAGATTCGTATGATCGTGCACTTATTCGTTTTAAATCACTCGAGACGAAATTAGCTAGAAATTTAGAGCTAAAGTCGCAGTATAAAGCCTTTATAGAGGAGTACCTGAACCTTGGTCACATGTCTCTAACAACTAAAAATGCTGCGCCTTATCAGTATTACCTACCTCACCACTGCGTCCAAAAATTGGAAAGTACAACAACAAAACTGCGAGTTGTTTTCGACGGCTCGGCGAAGTCCACTTCGGGATATTCGTTGAACGATTTGTTGTACGCCGGTCCTTCTATTCAACCAAAAATCTTCACTACCCTGCTTCGTTTTCGATTTTTCAAGGTTGCTTTGTGTGGAGATATTTGCAAAATGTATCGCTGCGTTCGGGTTACGCATCCCCATCAGTTTCTGCAATGTATTCTATGGCGCGATCGGCCAGAAGACGAGATTCCAGTTTACTCGCTTGACACCGTAACCTATGGCACGAAGCCTGCTGCTTTTTTGGCAATTCGTGCAATGCAGCAGCTATCCTACGATGAAGAAGCGGAATTTCCAGTAGCAGCTAAAATCATACGCACAAACTTCTACGTGGATGATCTAATCGCAGGAGGAGGAGGTCGTTGAAATTCGTCAACAAATCAAGGCGCTCCTGGAAAGAGGACACTTTCCAATTCGCAAATGGTGTTCCAACGAACCTGCTGCGCTAGAAGGAGTGGATGACTCGGATCGGGAGAAAACTTTAAAGTTCCACGACGGAACCGACGTTACAAAGGCGTTAGGTTTATCTTGGGACACGCTATCGGATAGCTTGCTTTTCAGCTTCTCAAACGAATGGACAGAAAAACCCTCAACCAAGCGCAGCATCCTGTCGGCTATCGCTAAGTTTTACGATCCCCTTGGACTAATAGCCCCAATCATAACCAAGCTTAAAATTTTCATGCAGGTCTTATGGAAGGATAAGCTCGACTGGGATGAATCTCTGCCGCAATCTTTGCATTCCGCTTGGTTGGAGCACATGTCGCAGATCGCCACAGTTGCTTGTTTGAGGTTTCCACGCTTTGTTCTACAGCATAACTCATCGTGCGAAATACATGGATTTTGCGATGCAAGCATGGCAGCTTACGGAGCTTGCATCTATGTTCGATCAGAGAACCAAGGTATCGTTTCGTCGAACCTACTTTGCTCGAAATCAAGAGTCGCACCCTTGAAGACCCTCACGATTCCGAAGCTAGAGTTATCTGCAGCTCTTTTACTCTCTGAGCTTGTCTCTCAAGTGGCACAAATCGCACCTCGATCTTGCACCTTTCATTGTTGGTCAGATTCGACAATAGTCTTGGCTTGGATCCGACAACCTCCATCAGATTTTAACATTTTCGTTTCGAACAGGATTTCGCAGATACAGGAAAGAACTAAGGGAATGACTTGGAGGCACGTACCGTCACGGCAGAATCCGGCGGACATCTTATCTCGTGGATGTACCCCTATTGAGCTGATGGAATCAAAACTTTGGAGTGAAGGACCGCAGTTCGTACTCACTGATTCTTCTACGTGGCCCGATGACTCGCCCCCTGTCAAGGAACTTCCTGAGCGTCGACGCAGCGCATTGGTGCTGTCGCAGGAAATGGACATCTCACACAGTTGCAAGTTTGGAAACTCGTTTTGGAGAATGCAGAGAGTCTTCGGATATATATATCGGTTCCTTCAAAGGGTCAGCAAGGATCGAGTACGGCATAAAGGAGAGCTTACAGTCGAGGAAATCAAAGGTGGGACTCATCTACTATTAAAGGAATTCAGCGCGTGCACTTTGCCGAGGATCACAAAGCATTAACCTTGAAGATGAAGCTGTCGCCGAGAAGTAAACTTCTGTCCTTAAACCCATTTATAGATGCAGGAGGTCTAATGCGCGTCGGCGGACGCCTTCAAAATTCGCAGCTGGATTTCGATGCCAAACACCCTATGATTCTTCCCAAGTCTCATCATATAACCTCAGCTATCATTGATCATTTTCATCGCAAGTTCCTTCATGCAGGAGCGCAGAGCTTGTTAGCCGCTTTACGACAGAGATTCTGGCCCATTGGAGGGCGCAAAACGGTTTCTGCTGTCATCAACAAGTGCATTCAATGTTTCAGATTAAAGCCCAAGCTAGTAGAACACATCATGGCGCCGCTCCCGGAGGACCGAGTGCAGCCGAATCGCCCATTCGTCATCTCTGGAGTGGACTTTTGTGGCCCCTTTTTGATTCGAAGTCAGAGGTCAGAAACAGGCCCCCTACGAAGTGCTACATAGCCATATTCGTTTGCTTCGTCAGCAAGGCCACACACTTGGAAGTCGTCGAAGACCTTTCAACGCAATCGTTCATAGCAGCCCTGAAGCGATTTATAAGCCTGAGGGGAAAACCTCAAACTATTTGGTCAGACAACGCAACGAACTTCGTGGGAGCCAAAAACGAGCTAATTGAACTTCGGCAGCTGTTTCTGAGCGATCCTCAAAACTTGGAGCTATGGAATTCCCTTACGTCGATGGAGATCCGCTGGAATTTCATCCCACCTCGTTCTCCGCACTTCGGTGGCCTGTGGGAAGCCGCGGTGAAATTTCCGCAATTTTAAACTCACGACCGCTCTGTCCCATTTCAGAAAACCCAGATGACATTAGTGTTCTTACTCCTGCACACTTTCTCATTGGATCTACATTCACTGCAATGGATGAGCCTGATGTCACCCATCTGAACATCGATCGCTTGAGCCGGTGGCAGCGCGTATGCCAAATGCAGCAAACCTTCTGGCGCAAATGGAGCGCCGACTACCTTTCGCTGCTGCAGGAGCGGACTAAATGGCGCCTTCCTGTGAGCAACGTACCGGCAGGCAGCATGGTCCTCATCAAGGAGGACAACGTACCCCCTTTGCGGTGGCGCCTCGGCAGGGTCGAGAGCACCGTCGCCGGAGAGGACGGCGTCGAACGAGTTGCAGTCATCCGAACCAACTCTGGACTATGCAAGCGGGCAATAAGGAAGCTTGCGGTACTGCCTCTGGAAACCACTTCACTTGGAAGCATGACTCTTCCAACGGGGGCAGCATGTCGGGAGCAGCCGCAGCAATCAACTTAATATCAATTTAAAATCATTTATTGTTTGCCATTCGGTCAGCATCTCTGACAACAACAATGTAAACAAAAGCTCCCAATTATCTATTTTGCAAAAGATAAGCCGAGATAAGCGACTGCGCTCGCTGCTCTCTCGGACTTACGCGTTCTCATCTTTTACATTCGCCTTTGATCGCTGGTACGGAGCAGCTCGTTCGCTCTTGCTACCATAATAAACGCATTTAAAATCGAACCACATTCTCGGCTTTCCTTTTAACACCGTTCTGACACACGCAAAATTCTCTCTCGTTAATTATTCGCAAAAAAAGGTGGCATAAATTAATGCCTCCTCTAAACAATGAGTTTGTAGAAATGTCTGAGACGGACTTTAAGACTTGCCAAGAACGGGCTAAGAATGATTTCATCTGCTACAATAAGCAAGCGATGTTCTCTTCAGAGACAAGTTGTGAGATGTTGTTTCATAATAAAACAGATGCTTCTTGCAAACTAATAACTACAAAAAGAGCATTTCTATGGCTTGGAACGTATGCCGAAAATCAATGAATCTTTGCTACAAATTCATGCTTAAAGCTATCTGCTGTGTGTGTAGATGGCGCATCTGATATAGAATTACAAGGCTCTGGATGGTTAACTGCCAGACCTGGATGTACAATTCGAAATACATTAGTGACAATCACGACACGAGAAGCCACAGATACTAAACTTCAAGCATCATATGCTCGTTTTGGAGACATCGACTTAACAGAAACTGTGACAAAGAGCTCCAATACTACGAATTCCATCGATGTAGGGACTCTAAATGTCAATGAGCTGCAACAAAGGAAAATGGAACTGTTCCCGAAGGACACATTCAGGCTACCACATAGTCTTTCACCTATTGAGCATCATCATATCGCCATTTATGTTGGACTAATATTCGTAATGATTATTAGCATCATTCATTTCGTTAAAAAATGTCAACATTGATGATTGTTGAACATCCGTTCAACGGGCGGGAGAATGTACAATTTCGTCAAGAAGATAATTACTCGCAGCTGCCACCAGCCATCTATTGATAAGATTGCATCTGGACGCTGCCCATCTACCTAAATAAACTCGGGAAACTCGCGATACCCGGGTCACGCAGGTCCGCGCACACATGTGTGATTCCGGGCCATAAACAGAATCCCGCGATCGGTCACGTTCTTCACACCAATTGCATGCAGACGTCGCAGGAATTAGTTATCTAAGTAGTTCCCATGGCTGTATCCAGCTGTTTATGTTTTTATAGGATAAACCCATGTAACCCAAAAGTAGACCTAAGTAAATAACCTTTGACCCGAAAACATGTATATAAACCCCATGCAGTATCCAATAAAATCAGTACGAAAATAACTCTTTGCGTATTCACTTCTCCGCAGCCCAATTGGTATTGTACTTATTGCGGCGACCATTGGCACTGGTACTGAACCTGAGGCACGCAATTAAAACTATTTCAGCATTAGGATTTATTCTGAATCCGCACAGCAGCCCTGAATTCCTATATATAATAAAATTAGATTTTATCTTTAGGGTAGATTGTTTCATAAACGACATCGTTTTTCTAAACATTTTAATCCATATTTTATCAAAATCCGTTCAGTCGTTTAGCGGAAAATCCATTTTTCTTGTTTTTCCGATTATTATTTAGGTACAAGTAGTGTTATTTTTTGCCTGTACCAACAAACACTGTACACTAAGTCACAGCGAAAATTCTGAATAAATTTTGGTAAAAATATCCAAACGTTTAGGACAGTAGTTGTTAAGAAAATTAGTTTTTAAGATCCAATTGTATTCATATGCTCCTGCAGCCCTGGCGTCTGCAGATTTTCACGCGAATACGGACAGCTCGGTGTTGCCAGACCGTCGACGATTACACTTGTCGATCAGCCAATCATATAAGATTCGGCCGTCCCTATTTATATGATTGCTACTATGGTAGGGGAAGTGCCAACTAGGGTGTTTGGCATTTAAGTCACAACCAATTATGATTGAGCTATTACTACTACACGCGTTCAATTCTATGTCATTTATCAACGAGTTGAGATCAGAGTTGGTCAACGGGTCATTTGGTCTTTTGTATAGCGAAACGGCAACAATCGATTTGTGCGGCACGGAGCCAGTATCTGTGATGAGTTCAATCGCAATAGCCTCAATATGCTTGAGCGGGTTTAAATTGACTCTTCTGTATTTAATGCCATTCGGAATGCAAATGGCTACTGAAGTGCTCTTGTTTTCCGGCTTTGCAGTCGAACTTCGCATATGTATATTATCTGTAGCGTCTACTAGTTGTCTTATAAATTGGTAATTTGTCAATTCAATTTGGTGACGTTGACTCAATCTGTGTTCTACGATTAGCATAATACTTGGACGATGTAATTTTAACAAGCAGTCAAACTCGTGTCTCTTTTGTAAAGATACAATGGAGTTGACATTTTGGAACATGCATTTGAGTTTACGCATTTGTTAATGCAGAAGACATGGCCATTTGCATTAGAAAGTCGAGAAGGATTTGCTGTTTCTGTTTTTTGAGCTCCATCGGATTGGTGACTGGCATGCCAGCATATTTTCCTACAACACTTTTCATTATGTCAAGACAATTGAAAATATCTGTACCAAAAAATTCGATAGCATCACTGTTACAAGAGTTTAGAGACAACGATGTGTTTGCAACGGGTCGAAGATTTGTGTTTGATTTGGCTGCCAATCTAGCTTCCATATGTTTTTGGAGGGCTGTCTTCGAAGTAGCAATTTTTTGTGGAGAGAGAGAAGGGGTGCTGCCAGTAGTCCCATTTCTACCATTGTTATTCCCACCGTTGAATAGCGAAGCAAATGATTTATTGTTATTAATTATTGAACTGGCTCGGCCAATTACATGGTTTCTTTGGTTTGTCATTACTTCCTTCTTTTTTCGCATTTTTTCTAACATTTCAATGCGAATCGGACATATTTTGGCATTTGCAGTATGTGGCCCTAAACAGTTTACGCATTTAACGCGTGAGATGGGTTTCCCATTTTTATCTACTTTATCTGTTTTTTTTTTACTAAACACTGCCCTGGCAAGTGCTTATTGATGCACTTGACGCATCTATGTTCCATGTTGCAATTGCTTGCAACATGCGTATACCTTTGACAATTATAGCATTGCCTTATTTGATTTTTATCTTTTTTTTAGGCCTTCAACTATTATTCGACAGTTTAAAAGGGATTTTAATTGAATAAGTTGACTGATATGTTCATGGCTCCTGGTTTGTACAAGCCAAAAACGCTTCTTGAATTCTTTTACGGTTGATATGTCTACGTTCGGAAGTGCCTCCCTGAGGGCTGACCGAACATCATCTGCTTCATATGATTCAACTGGCAATTTTTTAATAATTAAGGAGAATTGCTTGAGTTCATCAGGCGTGTACGAGTACAAATTTAGTTTATTATCTTTAAGCAAATCTTTTGTCTTAAGGTAGTCTTCAAGGGTATTTAATTTTACATTGATTAAGTTTTTATTAATGATGTTTAATATAAACTGATCGCTTTTTATAAAAGTTCTCAACATTCCCGTAATTAATTTTGGTATTGCGGTATATATCGCAATTATTGGGATTTTATTATTCTTTTTATGACTGTAGTTGGTGGAGGAGGCTGCTGCTGTCGCCGCCATATTTTTATGTTGCTGCTGCTGCCGCTGTTGCATCATCTTGGCAGCTTTGGAGAGGGCAACCTTTGCCCCCTTTGTTGGTGAAGATGCTGTTGCCGCTGTTGCTGCTGCCCTTAGGGCCGCCATCCTTGAAGTGGAGGGCTCGTTGTCATCTTCTTCCATCAAGTCCATAGGCTGTGCGGTAGGGCTTTGCCTTTGGTTAAAGTTGATTTTGTTGATTTTGTTTTTTTTTGTTGTTTTTGTTGCTTTGTACTATCTTGCCGCTGATTTTTGTGTTGTTGTTGTATTTGTTTTTGTTGTTGCTATTATTGTTGTTGTTGTTGCTGCTTTGATTGTTGCCGCCATTCTCCAAAAGTGATGGGAATTCGGCATCATAGCCATAGTAAGCATTGAGCATTTCGTCGCCATCGATTTCTTCATCTTCATCCTCAATGAATGGCGCAAACCTCTTGCCCGTAAGCTGACGAATGTTGCCAGCTAGTCCCAGACTAGCCAGCTGTTGCTTTACGTTTACGTGTTTATTCATTTGTGCCAGTTGCTGGCGTAGCAAATGATTCTCTTGTGACGACGCGACTGGTCGTCACAAACTTGTAAATGTTTCTGTATAAATAATACTCCTATAATTAAGCTTAGAACTAATCATGTAAATATTATACCTAAAATTAAGCTTAAGTACACACACACACACCCACACACACACACATATACACATCTGCATCTGCCTGCTGGACACGATTGGCAAGGTCTTCGAGAGAGTGATCTCAACTCGGTTGGGCGAAGCCATCGAAGCCGCGGGTGGTCTCTCCCCTGAACAATACGGATTCACGAAGGGACGGTCTACGCTGGACGCCATTGCGAGGGTCGTTAAGATCGCGGAGGATGCCATTGCAGGAACCAGATGGAAAGGTGGAACCAAATCCTATTGTCTGGTCGTCACCCTCGACATCAGGAATGCCTTCAACTCTGCAGACTGGAGCCGAACGCTAGAGTCCCTGAGGAAATTCAACATTCCGGGGTACCTACTGAATGTAGCGCTCAGCTACTTCAGCAACAGGGTTCTCACGTTGGACACGAGCATGGGTTCCGGAGAGTATAATATCTCAGCCGGAGTCCCTCAAGGCTCCGTCCTGGGACCTCTTCTCTGGAACGTCATGTATGACGGCGTACTGAGGCTTCCGATGCCTGCCTGCACCAGCCTGGTTGGCTTTGCGGACGACGTCGCTATCGTCGTGGCAGCGAAGGAGATAGCTGCCGTGGAGGCGCGGGCGGACACGGCCATCCAAGCCGTAGAGGCGTGGCTGGCTCTCGCGGGGCTAGAGTTGGCGGCTCAGAAGACGGAAGCTGTCCTCATCTCGAGCCGGAAAGCAGTGGAGACGGCCAGCGTTCCTGTTGGAGGGACGAGGATCCGGTCGCAGCGGGCGATAAAATACCTGGGCGTCCTCATCGACACTCGACTATCCTTTAAGGAGCACCTGGAGTACGTCCACAAAAAGGCAAGTGGGACGGTAGGAGCGCTCTCCAGAATGCTGCCGAATACGAGAGGGCCGAAGTAATGTTCGAGGAAACTGCTATCGTCAGTTGTGACCGCGCAGATCTTGTACGCGGCACCAGTATGGGCCAAAGCTGCAGCTGTCAAAAGCTACATGCGAGGAGTGGAGGCGACCTACCGCTTGTGTGCCATCAGGATCGCATGCGCGTTCCGCACAATCTCTGAGGACGCGGCTCTTGTTATCGCAGGGCAAGTCCCACTGACGGAACTCATCCGGGAGAGGAAGGAGATCTCCGAATCCCTACAGGACAGGCGGTCACCGCTGTCCAGAGCCGAGGGGAAGCTTGCAGCCAGAAGAACGAGCATGGTGAATTGGCAAGCTCGATGGGACTCCTCTTCGAAGGGCCGTTGGACGCACAGGCTCATCCCAGACCTAGCGCGATGGGTGGAGAGGGCGCATGGGCAGGTGAGCTTTTACCTTAGCCAGGTGCTTAGCGGCCACGGATGCTTCCGCCAGTACTTGAAGCGCTTTGGCCATGAGTCGGAAGACTGGTGCCCGGAGTGCGGCACTGGCATTTTGGAGGACGCGCATCACGTTCTCTTCGAGTGCCGCAGGTTCGGCCTCGAGAGACACGAACTGGAGGTAGCAGCGGGATCACCGATTACCGCCGAAACATTGGTGCCGACGATGCTCGGGGACCCAAAAGCGTGGGAAGCGGCAGACGCATTTGCCGCCCACGTCATGAAGACCCTCAGGACTCTGGAGAGAAGGCGGAAGGAGCGGCCGGAGTAGGGGCCTCCGCGCCCGCGAAGCAATGCCTGGCGGCGGTACCGCACGGCGTGAGCTCTTATTCCCTCGCACCATTCTTCGTCTTACTGTGGAGCATTATTGTTATTATTATTATTAATTCTATTATATTAGGGAATAAATAAATATTTATCTGAATACAAAAAAAAAAAAAAAAAAAACACATACACACACACATACACACAAAGGGTGTTTTTGTGTAGTCGCCGGGCACGGATGCGCCGCGGCGGTGCTCCCCCGATGTACGCGTGATGTGGGGGTTGTGGCAGGGCCCCTCACAAAATCGGATGCGGAGCGGCCGCGCGAAGCGGCTGAGAGTGCTTACCAGCGGCGTCACCCCTGTGATGTCCATGGCAAAAATGGCGGCTAGACGAACGAGCTACAGGAGCTGGCAAACCAGATGGGATGCCTCGTCCAAAGGGAGATGGACCCACAGCCTGATCCCCAATATTGAGGTCTGGATGGAGAGGACGCACGGGCAGGCGGATTTCTACCTGACCCAGCTGCTGAGCGGTCACGGCTGCTTCCGTGGCTATCTCAAGAGGTTCGGCCACGAGAACGAGGATGGCTGTCCGGAGTGCGGATCCGGCATTCAAGAAGATGCGCGCCACGTCGTCTTCGAGTGCCGCCGGTTCGCCGAAGAAAGGGCAGAGCTGGAGGCGATAGCAGGAGCGGAGATCTGCGTGGGCACGCTGGTGCCGCTGATGCTGGAGAGCCCAAGGACGTGGGAAGCGACGGCGGAATTCGCGGCGAAGGTGTTGAGGACACTTAGGCGTCTGGAGAGGGACAGAAACGAGCGGATGGACTAAGCGGCCTGCCACTGTGCGAAGCAATGCTTTGCGGCCGTACCGCACAGTGAGGGCCATGGTTTCGTCCGCAAGAGAGATAAAGATATAGCATCCATCCTTTATGTTATTGTATGTTGTAAATAATAAATATATATAGTTGTAAATAATAAATAAAAAACTGAATACAAAAAAAAAAAAAAAAAAACACACATACACACAAACATACAAGTCCTACAGCGAGGTGCTTGCAATGGTGACGAGGAGAGAGGACAAGCAGCTGTCGGACCTGGGACGCTGTGTGTCAAAGCTTCGCCGAACCAACAACGGCAACCTGCTCCTGGAGGTGGCGAAAGGTAGCGCCGAGAGCGCCACGACAATGAGGGAGAGCATCGAGAAGGTGCTCGGAGATACAGCGTCGGTGCGCGCAACGACAGAGGACTCAAAAGTCCTCGTCTTGGAGGTGCGCAATATCGACCCGATCGCGACGAAGCAGGATGTCTGCGCCGCACTCGCGGGCCAGTTTAACTTCGAGGCGGAGAGGGTGAATGTGCGGAGCATGCGCCGCAGCTTTGCTGAAACCCAAACTGCGATAATCAGCCTTCCCGTATCCCTTGCCAAAGCCGTCCTCCATAGAGGTGAAGTTCGGATTGGATGGACCATCTGCAGGATCCGGGAACGACTTGGTCCCGTGAGGTGCTTCAGATGCCTAGAACCAGGGCATATTGCGATCCACTGCAAGGGCCCTGTGGACAGGAGCGGTTGCTGCATTAACTGCGGCGAGCCGGGACACAAGGCGGCTTCGTGCAACAAGGAGCCGTCTTGCTTCATATGCTCTGCGGCTGGAAGGAAGGAGACGAGGCACAAGGCAGGCGCCAGGGGATGTCCAGCCTCGAACAGTGGGTATGCGAATCCCAAGCCTGCATGCAGTTGATTCAACTCAATCTGAATCACTGCAGGGCTGCGCAGGATCTCCTGTCGCAGACGGTGCGGGAGCTGAACTCGAAGGTGGCAGTCCTGAGCGAACCCTACAGGGTCGGTACCAGCCGCGTCTGGGCCACTGACCGCTCTGGCAAGGCGGCCTTGTGGCTCTGCGGAGCGGATGCTCCGGAGATGTGCGACACCAAAGCAGCGGAAGGCTTTGTCCGGGCGAACGTCGGCGGCACTTGGCTGTACAGCTGCTATCTGGCACCCAGTCCCTCATTGGAGGCGTTCGGCAGGATTCAGGACGAGCTGAGCAGCGATCTGCGTGGGCGGAGCAACGTCGTGGTTGGTGGCGACTTCAACGCCTGGGCCATGGAATGGGGATCCTCCCGGACCAACGCCAGAGGCCGAGCGCGAAGCAATGCCTGGCGGCGGTACCGCACGGCGTGAGCTCTTATTCCCTCGCACCATTCTTCGTCTTACTGTGGAGCATTATTGTTATTATTATTATTAATTCTATTATATTAGGGAATAAATAAATATTTATCTGAATACAAAAAAAAAAAAAAAAAAAACACATACACACACACATACACACAAAGGGTGTTTTTGTGTAGTCGCCGGGCACGGATGCGCCGCGGCGGTGCTCCCCCGATGTACGCGTGATGTGGGGGTTGTGGCAGGGCCCCTCACAAAATCGGATGCGGAGCGGCCGCGCGAAGCGGCTGAGAGTGCTTACCAGCGGCGTCACCCCTGTGATGTCCATGGCAAAAATGGCGGCTAGACGAACGAGCTACAGGAGCTGGCAAACCAGATGGGATGCCTCGTCCAAAGGGAGATGGACCCACAGCCTGATCCCCAATATTGAGGTCTGGATGGAGAGGACGCACGGGCAGGCGGATTTCTACCTGACCCAGCTGCTGAGCGGTCACGGCTGCTTCCGTGGCTATCTCAAGAGGTTCGGCCACGAGAACGAGGATGGCTGTCCGGAGTGCGGATCCGGCATTCAAGAAGATGCGCGCCACGTCGTCTTCGAGTGCCGCCGGCTCGCCGAAGAAAGGGCAGAGCTGGAGGCGATAGCAGGAGCGGAGATCTGCGTGGGCACGCTGGTGCCGCTGATGCTGGAGAGCCCAAGGACGTGGGAAGCGACGGCGGAATTCGCGGCGAAGGTGTTGAGGACACTTAGGCGTCTGGAGAGGGACAGAAACGAGCGGATGGACTAAGCGGCCTGCCACTGTGCGAAGCAATGCTTTGCGGCCGTACCGCACAGTGAGGGCCATGGTTTCGTCCGCAAGAGAGATAAAGATATAGCATCCATCCTTTATGTTATTGTATGTTGTAAATAATAAATATATATAGTTGTAAATAATAAATAAAAAACTGAATACAAAAAAAAAAAAAAAACACACACATACACACAAACATACAAGTCCTACAGCGAGGTGCTTGCACTGGTGACGAGGAGAGAGGACAAGCAGCTGTCGGACCTAGGACGCTGTGCGTCAAAGGTTCGCCGAACCAACAACGGCAACCTGCTCCTGGAGGTGGCGAAAGGTAGCGCCGAGAGCGCCACGACAATGAGGGAGAGCATCGAGAAGGTGCTCGGAGATACAGCGTCGGTGCGCGCAACGACAGAGGACTCAAAAGTCCTCGTCTTGGAGGTGCGCAATATCGACCCGATCGCGACGAAGCAGGATGTCTGCGCCGCACTCGCGGGCCAGTTTAACTTCGAGGCGGAGAGGGTGAATGTGCGGAGCATGCGCCGCAGCTTTGCTGAAACCCAAACTGCGATAATCAGCCTTCCCGTATCCCTTGCCAAAGCCGTCCTCCATAGAGGTGAAGTTCGGATTGGATGGACCATCTGCAGGATCCGGGAACGACTTGGTCCCGTGAGGTGCTTCAGATGCCTAGAACCAGGGCATATTGCGATCCACTGCAAGGGCCCTGTGGACAGGAGCGGTTGCTGCATTAACTGCGGCGAGCCGGGACACAAGGCGGCTTCGTGCAACAAGGAGCCGTCTTGCTTCATATGCTCTGCGGCTGGAAGGAAGGAGACGAGGCACAAGGCAGGCGCCAGGGGATGTCCAGCCTCGAACAGTGGGTATGCGAATCCCAAGCCTGCATGCAGTTGATTCAACTCAATCTGAATCACTGCAGGGCTGCGCAGGATCTCCTGTCGCAGACGGTGCGGGAGCTGAACTCGAAGGTGGCAGTCCTGAGCGAACCCTACAGGGTCGGTACCAGCCGCGTCTGGGCCACTGACCGCTCTGGCAAGGCGGCCTTGTGGCTCTGCGGAGCGGATGCTCCGGAGATGTGCGACACCAAAGCAGCGGAAGGCTTTGTCCGGGCGAACGTCGGCGGCACTTGGCTGTACAGCTGCTATCTGGCACCCAGTCCCTCATTGGAGGCGTTCGGCAGGATTCAGGACGAGCTGAGCAGCGATCTGCGTGGGCGGAGCAACGTCGTGGTTGGTGGCGACATCAACGCCTGGGCCATGGAATGGGGATCCTCCCGGACCAACGCCAGAGGCCGAGCGGTACTGGAGACCTTCGCCTCCCTGGACGTAGTCCTTCTGAACGAAGGCTCCCGGCAGACCTTCAGCAGGGCTGGGGTGGGCTCGGTAATCGACCTCACCTATGTCAGCAGTGCGCTGGCCAGCCGCGCCCGTTGGAAGATCAGCGAGGCCTATACCGCCAGCGACCACGAGGCTATCGAGTGCTCGATAGGCGCCGCGCATCGCACGAGTGGGTCCCTACTCCCGGATAGGAAGGCGTTCCGGCAAGACACCTTCAGGCCGCGGGATTTCGCAAATGCCCTCGAGGGCTTCACGGCAGGCGAAGCAGAAGGAGCCAACGAGACGGCCGACAAGCTAGCATGGGCCGTGGACGGCGCTTGCAGCCAAAGCATGCTACTAAGAAGGCCGTTCAGAAAGCACCACTCCCCGGTGTTTTGGTGGAGCGAGGAGATCGCGGACCTGCGCCGTAAATGCCACCGCAGCAGAAGATTGTTGCAGCGAGCTAGAGGCACCCCGCGCCTTCTTACGTGTAACGACCGCTACAAGGCAGCAAGAAAGGAGCTCAAGACTGCCATTAAGAACAGCAAACGAGAATGCTTCCTCAAGCTGTGCGACGCCGCCGAGGAGGATCCATGGGGAGGAGCCTACAGAATGGTAGTAAAGAGGCTTAATGCGGGTGGCTGTGCCCCAACCGACCCGGCGACGCTGGAGAGGATAGTTGGCCCCCTGTTCCCGAGCGGTCGGCAGGTCTTGATCTGCCCCAGCACCGAGTTGGGCGACAACCGTTGGGTCACGGAAGCTGAGGTTCTCCTTGCCGGTAGAAGCCTGAAGCCCAAGAAGGCTCCGGGGCCAGACGCGATTCCGAGTAGAGCAACCAAGCTGACTCTATCGCTGCTGACGTCCGAAGTTGTCGGCCTGTTCAACAAGTGCCTTCTGGAGGGTACGTTCCCCGACAGATGGAAAAGGCAACGTCTGCTACTGCTGCCCAAGCCAGGCAAGCCACCAGGAGAAGCATCGTCCTACAGACCGATCTGACTGCTGGAGACGATCGGCAAGGTATTCGAAAGGGTGATCTCAACCCGGCTGAGCCAAGCCATCGAAGCCGCTGGTGGACTCTCCCCGGAGCAATATGGCTTCACGAAGGGGAAGTCTACGCTGGACGCCATTGCAAAGGTAGTCAAATTGGCGCAGGATGCCATTGCCGGAACCAGGTGGAAAGGAGGAAGCAAGTCCTACTGCCTGGTGGTCACCCTGGACATCAGGAATGCCTTTAACCCTGCAGACTGGAGCCGTACGCTAGAGTCCCTAAGGAACTTTAACATTCCTGGGTACTTGCTGAACGTAGCTCACAGCTACTTCAGCCACAGGGTACTCATGATGGACACGAGCATGGGTCCCAAAGAGCACAACGTCTAAGCCGGAGTCCCGCAGGGCTCCGTCCTGGGTCCTCTCCTTTGGAACGCAATGTACGACGGCGTGCTGAGGTTTTCGATGCCAGTCAGCACCAACCTGGTTCGATTTGCGGACGACGTCGCTATAGTGGTGGTAGCAAAGGAGCTAGCATCTGTGCAGGCGCGAGTTAAGAGATGAATAGTTGTAGAGATGTCCCAGTGAGTATCTGAGAGATGGTATTCCTTTGTATATATGGGTGTTCCCGTGGTTTTCCCAGAGAAATTAAAGAACGCCGGAGTGTATGGTTTGAAATCCAAAATCAAAGTGAACTTTTATTCTTAAATATTCTTATTCAAACCTAAACGTTTATACATCAAAGTGCTGACCTAGCGGGTTGGAATTGGAGCGGATGCATAATTGGGTCTCGTCTCGGATTTCCGCAGTGGTTCGTTGTATGTGTTTAGATGGCAGCTTTAGTTGCCAATACATTGTTGTTGTTTATTGCATGGGTTCTGTTAGGCCGCCGAGGGAATGTGCTGAGGCTGTCTAATTGGTGGACAGCCGAAGGGGTTTCGGCGGGGGACCACCGAGGGTGTACGTCGAGGTGGTAACTCCTCCCCCCTCAGACTGAACTACCGACCATAGCGGAGCGATGGTTGGTGTGAATGTGACAGGTGGGTTAGCGGTTGGTGCAGGGCTAGCCGGTGGAGCGACTGGTGTAAACGTGGTCGTTCTCTTGGAAAAACATGCTACTGCCAACACTATTATCGCTATCACAGACAACATGGTGTACGTGGTTGTCATGTGTATTGTTGTTCCCGATTGGATTCTGTCGATCTGTAACCTTGTCTCGATGTCCTCCATTTTCAACTCATGAATTCCCAACTCCTTAGTCGTCCTGTTCTTCTTCATAGTTGAAATTTGCGGAATCTCCAGCTTCAATTTCGTCGTGCCCATCTTCTCCACTGCTTCGTATTGCACATTATTCACCATTACTCGACATTCGCTGAACGTGATTAGCGCTGACCCGTTTAGGGTTTCATCTTGCCCACAGTCCGTTTGCACCTTTACGTTTCCACCATTGAAGATTGCTATGTAGCCTTCCTCTGGCTCGAAGATCTTGGTTGTGAATCCGGCGTCCCGTGTCTCGCAATCCGCTTCCTTCCCGCTGATCAGATTCCTAATACATTCTTCATTTGTTTGTTTTACAATTTTGTCGTTCTTACAAATATACAAATTCCTTATCCTTTGACATTTCTCTTTATAATAATACAATTCTTTTTCATTGTTAATTACGTATTCCGGGGAAATTACAAATTCCGTTTTGTTCATTGGTAACGGTACCAATCTTTGTAAATAATATTTTTCTTTCTTAAATATTGGTAACCTCACCGAAAATATTATGTCTATATTGTTCATGATTGTCTTTAGTTCTAAGAACTCGTACATGTGTTCTTCTGACAAAATCTTTACTCCCTGGTCTTCTAATTCTTTTATGCATTTATTTGTCTCCTGCTTATCATAGATAAATTTTTAAATTAGCCCAATCTTTGCTAGTAGTAGGCTTTCAGCTAATTCATTCAAGTTCAATCCTAACATATCTATTGTTATAGCGATTCTCTCTATATACTCTATTCTGTAAATCCTTTTGTCCTCTTCTACGAACGTCTTACTTATGCCATTTTTATAGTTGTTAATGAATGTGGTTACCCTATCTTGTTCCTCGTTTATATATTTAGTCAAATTTTTGAACATGATTGCGAATTTGGCTCCTGTGGTTACTTGAGTGTTCAAATTTTCTTTCAATCTCCTTACTTCCTCTTGCATCTTCCTTATTTCTTGTTCCAGCCTTTCGGCGTCTTCTGCATCTAAATTCCCTTTTATGGATTTAACAACGGACCCTAGTCCATTGATCAATCCTCTCGTTTTCCTTCTTCTAGGGCATATTGCCTCTAACCTATTCCTTATCATACGCATTTTGTTTTGTAAAACCCTAACAAGGTCTCTAGTTTCTGCCTCTTCTACTACCTCATTAAGTGTTTTCTCAATCTGTTCCATCGCTTCCTTGTATTCCTGGAGTTGTACTACGTGTACAAACGTCTTGTGCGTCTGTACTATCTTCGCCGGCCCTAGATTTATTCGTGCCAACGGCTCATCTCCTTCTAACGGCCGGAGCTCAAAGGTCCTCTCCGCCGTCATGGGCCTAGACCACCTGTAATTATTTATCAATCATTGTGTTTAGTTAGTTTCCTGATCTTTTCCTTATGGATTTTCTGAGGTTTGGTAGAGGTTAATGTTAGACCGTGGTCCTCCATCACCTGGTGTTTCGAAAACCTAGGAGTCAATTTGTCCCTCCTGTTTTCTTTCCTAAATATTCAGGCCTGTTCTAGTTTCCACTTCCACAAAATTTATTCGGATACGGATTTCCCTGACCTGTTCTAGTGTTCACTTCCGAAAAATTTTTACGGATTCGTATTTCCCTCTGTTAAGTCTCTGGAAGGAAGGAGACGAGGCACAAGGCAGGCGCCAGGGGATGTCCAGCCTCGAACAGTGGGTATGCGAATCCCAAGCCTGCATGCAGTTGATTCAACTCAATCTGAATCACTGCAGGGCTGCGCAGGATCTCCTGTCGCAGACGGTGCGGGAGCTGAACTCGAAGGTGGCAGTCCTGAGTGAACCCTACAGGGTCGGTACCAGCCGCGTCTGGGCCACTGACCGCTCTGGCAAGGCGGCCTTGTGGCTCTGCGGAGCGGATGCTCCGGAGATGTGCGACACCAAAGCAGCGGAAGGCTTTGTCCGGGCGAACGTCGGCGGCACTTGGCTGTACAGCTGCTATCTGGCACCCAGTCCCTCATTGGAGGCGTTCGGCAGGATTCAGGACGAGCTGAGCAGCGATCTGCGTGGGCGGAGCAACGTCGTGGTTGGTGGCGACATCAACGCCTGGGCCATGGAATGGGGATCCTCCCGGACCAACGCCAGAGGCCGAGCGGTACTGGAGACCTTCGCCTCCCTGGACGTAGTCCTTCTGAACGAAGGCTCCCGGCAGACCTTCAGCAGGGCTGGGGTGGGCTCGGTAATCGACCTCACCTATGTCAGCAGTGCGCTGGCCAGCCGCGCCCGATGGAAGATCAGCGAGGCCTATACCGCCAGCGACCACGAGGCTATCGAGTGCTCGATAGGCGCCGCGCATCGCACGAGTGGGTCCCTACTCCCGGATAGGAAGGCGTTCCGGCAAGACACCTTCAGGCCGCGGGATTTCGCAAATGCCCTCGAGGGCTTCACGGCAGGCGAAGCAGAAGGAGCCAACGAGACGGCCGACAAGCTAGCATGGGCCGTGGACGGCGCTTGCAGCCAAAGCATGCTACTAAGAAGGCCGTTCAGAAAGCACCACTCCCCGGTGTTTTGGTGGAGCGAGGAGATCGCGGACCTGCGCCGTAAATGCCACCGCAGCAGAAGATTGTTGCAGCGAGCTAGAGGCACCCCGCGCCTTCTTACGTGTAACGACCGCTACAAGGCAGCAAGAAAGGAGCTCAAGACTGCCATTAAGAACAGCAAACGAGAATGCTTCCTCAAGCTGTGCGACGCCGCCGAGGAGGATCCATGGGGAGGAGCCTACAGAATGGTAGTAAAGAGGCTTAATGCGGGTGGCTGTGCCCCAACCGACCCGGCGACGCTGGAGAGGATAGTTGGCCCCCTGTTCCCGAGCGGTCGGCAGGTCTTGATCTGCCCCAGCACCGAGTTGGGCGACAACCGTTGGGTCACGGAAGCTGAGGTTCTCCTTGCCGGTAGAAGCCTGAAGCCCAAGAAGGCTCCGGGGCCAGACGCGATTCCGAGTAGAGCAACCAAGCTGACTCTATCGCTGCTGACGTCCGAAGTTGTCGGCCTGTTCAACAAGTGCCTTCTGGAGGGTACGTTCCCCGACAGATGGAAAAGGCAACGTCTGCTACTGCTGCCCAAGCCAGGCAAGCCACCAAGAGAAGCATCGTCCTACAGACCGATCTGACTGCTGGAGACGATCGGCAAGGTATTCGAAAGGGTGATCTCAACCCGGCTGAGCCAAGCCATCGAAGCCGCTGGTGGACTCTCCCCGGAGCAATATGGCTTCACGAAGGGGAAGTCTACGCTGGACGCCATTGCAAAGGTAGTCAAATTGGCGCAGGATGCCATTGCCGGAACCAGGTGGAAAGGAGGAAGCAAGTCCTACTGCCTGGTGGTCACCCTGGACATCAGGAATGCCTTTAACCCTGCAGACTGGAGCCGTACGCTAGAGTCCCTAAGGAACTTTAACATTCCTGGGTACTTGCTGAACGTAGCTCACAGCTACTTCAGCCACAGGGTACTCATGATGGACACGAGCATGGGTCCCAAAGAGCACAACGTCTAAGCCGGAGTCCCGCAGGGCTCCGTCCTGGGTCCTCTCCTTTGGAACGCAATGTACGACGGCGTGCTGAGGTTTTCGATGCCAGTCAGCACCAACCTGGTTCGATTTGCGGACGACGTCGCTATAGTGGTGGTAGCAAAGGAGCTAGCATCTGTGCAGGCGCGAGTTAAGAGATGAATAGTTGTAGAGATGTCCCAGTGAGTATCTGAGAGATGGTATTCCTTTGTATATATGGGTGTTCCCGTGGTTTTCCCAGAGAAATTAAAGAACGCCGGAGTGTATGGTTTGAAATCCAAAATCAAAGTGAACTTTTATTCTTAAATATTCTTATTCAAACCTAAACGTTTATACATCAAAGTGCTGACCTAGCGGGTTGGAATTGGAGCGGATGCATAATTGGGTCTCGTCTCGGATTTCCGCAGTGGTTCGTTGTATGTGTTTAGATGGCAGCTTTAGTTGCCAATACATTGTTGTTGTTTATTGCATGGGTTCTGTTAGGCCGCCGAGGGAATGTGCTGAGGCTGTCTAATTGGTGGACAGCCGAAGGGGTTTCGGCGGGGGACCACCGAGGGTGTACGTCGAGGTGGTAACTCCTCCCCCCTCAGACTGAACTACCGACCATAGCGGAGCGATGGTTGGTGTGAATGTGACAGGTGGGTTAGCGGTTGGTGCAGGGCTAGCCGGTGGAGCGACTGGTGTAAACGTGGTCGTTCTCTTGGAAAAACATGCTACTGCCAACACTATTATCGCTATCACAGACAACATGGTGTACGTGGTTGTCATGTGTATTGTTGTTCCCGATTGGATTCTGTCGATCTGTAACCTTGTCTCGATGTCCTCCATTTTCAACTCATGAATTCCCAACTCCTTAGTCGTCCTGTTCTTCTTCATAGTTGAAATTTGCGGAATCTCCAGCTTCAATTTCGTCGTGCCCATCTTCTCCACTGCTTCGTATTGCACATTATTCACCATTACTCGACATTCGCTGAACGTGATTAGCGCTGACCCGTTTAGGGTTTCATCTTGCCCACAGTCCGTTTGCACCTTTACGTTTCCACCATTGAAGATTGCTATGTAGCCTTCCTCTGGCTCGAAGATCTTGGTTGTGAATCCGGCGTCCCGTGTCTCGCAATCCGCTTCCTTCCCGCTGATCAGATTCCTAATACATTCTTCATTTGTTTGTTTTACAATTTTGTCGTTCTTACAAATATACAAATTCCTTATCCTTTGACATTTCTCTTTATAATAATACAATTCTTTTTCATTGTTAATTACGTATTCCGGGGAAATTACAAATTCCGTTTTGTTCATTGGTAACGGTACCAATCTTTGTAAATAATATTTTTCTTTCTTAAATATTGGTAACCTCACCGAAAATATTATGTCTATATTGTTCATGATTGTCTTTAGTTCTAAGAACTCGTACATGTGTTCTTCTGACAAAATCTTTACTCCCTGGTCTTCTAATTCTTTTATGCATTTATTTGTCTCCTGCTTATCATAGATAAATTTTTAAATTAGCCCAATCTTTGCTAGTAGTAGGCTTTCAGCTAATTCATTCAAGTTCAATCCTAACATATCTATTGTTATAGCGATTCTCTCTATATACTCTATTCTGTAAATCCTTTTGTCCTCTTCTACGAACGTCTTACTTATGCCATTTTTATAGTTGTTAATGAATGTGGTTACCCTATCTTGTTCCTCGTTTATATATTTAGTCAAATTTTTGAACATGATTGCGAATTTGGCTCCTGTGGTTACTTGAGTGTTCAAATTTTCTTTCAATCTCCTTACTTCCTCTTGCATCTTCCTTATTTCTTGTTCCAGCCTTTCGGCGTCTTCTGCATCTAAATTCCCTTTTATGGATTTAACAACGGACCCTAGTCCATTGATCAATCCTCTCGTTTTCCTTCTTCTAGGGCATATTGCCTCTAACCTATTCCTTATCATACGCATTTTGTTTTGTAAAACCCTAACAAGGTCTCTAGTTTCTGCCTCTTCTACTACCTCATTAAGTGTTTTCTCAATCTGTTCCATCGCTTCCTTGTATTCCTGGAGTTGTACTACGTGTACAAACGTCTTGTGCGTCTGTACTATCTTCGCCGGCCCTAGATTTATTCGTGCCAACGGCTCATCTCCTTCTAACGGCCGGAGCTCAAAGGTCCTCTCCGCCGTCATGGGCCTAGACCACCTGTAATTATTTATCAATCATTGTGTTTAGTTAGTTTCCTGATCTTTTCCTTATGGATTTTCTGAGGTTTGGTAGAGGTTAATGTTAGACCGTGGTCCTCCATCACCTGGTGTTTCGAAAACCTAGGAGTCAATTTGTCCCTCCTGTTTTCTTTCCTAAATATTCAGGCCTGTTCTAGTTTCCACTTCCACAAAATTTATTCGGATACGGATTTCCCTGACCTGTTCTAGTGTTCACTTCCGAAAAATTTTTACGGATTCGTATTTCCCTCTGTTAAGTCTCTGTTAATTTGCAGACGAAACGCACGGAAACTTTCCGTGTGGCATTTGGCCGGCGGATTCAAATCCGCAAAATCAGAAATTAATTATTTTAAAATACAATGCGATTATGTATATTACAAATGTTAATTGTAATATATTCCTTGAAGTTTTGGGAACATTATTGCATAATTGAATTAGCTAATACTAACTTACTTAATTTATAAATAATTATTTTGTGGGTGCACCTTAAAATCGGTTCGATTCTAACCTTCAACATTATTGCAAATCCGCTGCCGCTGTGTCGTATTTGAGAGGGACCATTTAAGGGTTGTCAGCGTTTCAAAAAAAACGGCATATATTTAAGATAAATTTCGAACAATTACTTTTTATGTTGTTTTACAATTAAAATATCTGCTATTAGGTAAAGTATATGAAAAAGTGTTTTTCTTTAAAATACCAGCCAATTCAATCCACAAACTGAACTACATTTTATGCGAAGGGAATTTTTTCTAAACCCTCGGCAACTCTACTTTCGAGCATTTTGCCACCAGAACAGCTGATTGCAATTACAAATATTTCAAAATGTTTATTTCCTGTCTTAATGCTTATTCCTTAGATTTTATTATTTAAATTAGTGCTTCATTACTATCTATGAGTTGGAGACTACAGCGGGCCAAAATTTGATCAGCCCCTTTTAGCAAATCTTAGACAAGGGAATCCCTTTTGTTGAAAGCGACCAGCTGATTTTGTTTGGGAATTTAAGGGAAATTAAAAAAAGTTTCCTTAAATCACCAAGGGAAATTCGCTTATGTTAAAGGGAAATCCGTAAATGTTATCAAATTCACTGCCGAGTGGAAACTAGAACAGGCCTGATTGTGTCTCCTACTTCTATCGGTTCTGGGTCGTGCCTATCGGCATTCGCCGCCTCTATTCTCTTCCTCTTCTCTTGGTGTACCTTTTCTCTAATTTTCGGGTAGAGTTCAGCTTGGAACGCATTAATCTTCTGCAAATAATCGTGTTCATTATTAAATGACACGTTATTCAAGAAGTTATGCGTCCTTCCTGTGAATAGTTCTTGCGGCGTTAGTTTTGTTGCTGAGTGAATGGAATTGTTGTATGTTATGAAGGCTTCATCTAGGACTTCTTCGTGTTTAACCTCTAGCTTATTTTTTCTCTTTGCCTCGTTTATCAGCCTATAAATCTCAGTAATCGTCGAGTGCAGTCTTTCGACTGTGGAATTACTTGACTTCATACTGTCTGCAAAAATCTTTGAACAAGTTGGAAGAGAATTCCACTCCTTGATCGCAGACTATCTTCCTAGGCACCCCGAATAGGGCCTGAAGCTCTTTATAGCCTTGACGATGTTAATGCTCTCTTTTGCTGGGATTGTCAAACCCCAAGCGTACCTCGAGAACTTATCAATAATGGTTAGTACATTTTTCTTGTTCACGAAGTACAAGTCAATATGCACTATTTCCATTGGTCTCTCAGGCGTCTCAGTAAGGCTATATACGATCTTATTTGGCCCCCTATCATACTTTTGTGTTTGGCAGCTATCGCAATTGTTAATTGTCTGCGCAATTGTTTGTTTCATGTGGACGAAAAACACTTTCCTTTTCAGGTGTGCTAAAGTTTCGTCTATCCCTCTGTGGTTCGACTTTTCATGATAGTCTCTAATAATCTCCTCCTGTTCCTTTTTTTCCGTTATATCAGGCAATAAGACAGTACACCTTATTGACTTATACAATTTGCTGTAAGCGAAATACTTACAATATGCATTTTGAATCGTAATGACTAAATTGTCTGGAATCAGGAGTGCTAATGTTCTCTTTGGTTTCAAGATTTCTTTTAATCTTCGACCAATTGTCTCGTCATCGAACTTATTGTCTGTCCAAGGTATTCTCAGCTTATTCCTGAACGGAATTTGTTTCTGGATTCTCGCTACCATGCCTTCCTGTATTACCACCTGAATGTTATACTCATTCAGTGGTTTTTCTGATATTGGGAAACCCAATTGGAGATCTTCCCCAGCAGAGTGGATTGTCTCTCCATCGGTCGCCCTCTCGGAGGCATCTTCAAATGCATTAAGTTCCGGCTGGATTCGGCTCAATGCGTCAGCGACTACGTTCAGGGAACCTTTCTTATATACAATCTCGTAATCGTACTCCAGCATTTGGAGTCTCCATCTTACAAGTTTGGAGTCAGGTTCCTTGACGCTCATTAGCCATGTTAATGGCCTATGGTCAGTGACTATCTTGAACCTAGTGCCAAACACGTAATGCCTAAAATGCTTAATCGCCCAAATAATGGCGAGCATTTCCTTTTCGATAGTGGCATAATTTACCTCTGATCCTGACAACGTTCTGCTAGCATATGCTATTGGTCTGTCTGTTCCCAAGTTCCCTTAGGACAAGACGGCTCCAATCGCATAATTGCTCGCATCCGTGGTGAGAATAAAAGGTTTCTCAAAGTCGGGGAATTGAAGTATGGGGTCATTGCACAATAGGGTCTTGCATACCTCGAATGCATCATAGAATTCTTGATCTATCTGT